GCCATTTCCCACCATGGCTCCTGAAGTCTTTATGGACAGTCCAGCTTCTTCCAGGCATTAATGTGGACAACCGAAACCAGTAAATCAATAGGATGCCTACCATGTTACAGCTATAGAGCCATGTTTATTTGAACTGTCTTAAGAAAATAATAAGAAAGAAAATTGTAGACGGTTGTAATTTTCCTTTTTTAAAATTTTTTTTTGTTTAACTTTTCCATGGTTTAGCTTGCTAATATTTTACAGATGGATTATGAAGAAGAAAATCCCGAGAACAGTGTACAGGAGTAGGCCTACTTGGCTTTCAGCTTCGCCATCGTTACGCCAACACGTCTGTACAGTTACTGTTTGCTGCTCGTTGTCTTGTCATGAGGCCGACCGTTGTTTATGTTGCGAGGTGAAGCGAGTTCTTGGAAAGACGAGGATCTTCTTAAAAGCAGAGGGAGGGATTATTTGACTTAAACCAGGCGTCTTATGGTCCGTCATAGCCAAACAAAGCACAGGCCTGTTGCAGCCTAACAAATGCTGTTTTGACGCCCGAATCCTGTTGATGTCCACCCTAGCACTCTTCAGCGTAGTTTAGTTTGAGCCGCCAGTTTACTGCCGTCACGTCCTAGGCTTTACCAACCACTCCCTGGATTCTCAGTTGCAGAGTCAGCTTCTCCTTTTTCCCTTTCCCGCATATTTGCCTTCCTGTTATCTTTTGGCGAGTGTCATTTCTTTTCATCCAGGCCTCGGTCCAAAGTGTTAATCCACGGCAAGTGCCAAGTAACACGGGTACACTGAGGTAGATTACAGCTCGCCCAGCAGTGTGGAGCCAGAGTACCTGCATGCGAGTCCTCACTCTACTGAATGTGAAGGTCCACTTCCAGCAGCCAACCATCCCACTTTTGTTCGCTGTAAGTTATATGATATAGATGGAGTGAGGGAGAGTATTATTTACCATTTAGTCTTTTAGCTAATGTGTTTATCCAAAGCAAATGTTATTTTGGATACATGGCATCAAGTAGCAGGTTGGACGTCCTCACTCAAGGATGTCTACAGGTAGACTGGCGGACGTTGAGGTTCTGCGAACCCAGAACCTATTGGCTGGGGGTCAAACACACGCTAACCTCTAGATTAGCCTTCCCCCATAATGATGTGGAGGGACAGAGAGAAATGGAGAGGAGAGGAGGCTGTGGAGGAGAAACCAGAAGGCGACGATAGCGGATCGGGACATTCCTCTTCTCTTTAGGAATGTCTTCACATCATTCCTTTCCCCCCCCCCCCCCCCCCATCTCATTCGGCTACCTGGCTCACACACACACACACACACACACACACTTGCATGCACGCACACACACACACACGCACACACTTGCATGCACGCACACACACACACACACACACACACTTGCATGCACACTCGCACACACACACACACACACTTGCACGCACGGGCCTCTTCCTGCATACATAGTCCAGGCTCTTCAGGAATGTAGAGGGAGCAAGTGAGCATGCACATATGAACACCCAAAAGCCTCTTCCAAAGGTAGATTAAGGGATCAAAACCCTTATTTCTCTCAGCTTTGTATGTATTTATGCATTTGATGTACTTGCGCTGTGGGGTCTAAACTTGAGAGTTGATGGTACTCTGGCCATTGAAATGGTTGGGCTCATAAGTTCTTTGCACTTATTTTTGTTTCGCACTGGTTTTTAAAAACTAGAAATGATTAAAGTTGTGCCTCCCCCATATTATTCATGGTAACGTATCTGACCCTACCTTAATGTATTACAAAAGAGCAAAACGTGATGCAACCTTGTTTCTGAGTAAATTCAATGTGCCAGACGTTTTTTTTCCAAAGCGCAACCACATTACTGAAGGATGGCTAGAGAGCAGATTTTCTTCCCTTTCTTTTTGTTTGAAGAACAATCCGGTCTGTTTTGAGCACTTACCGTCAGAGCCTACAAGGTCACCGGCTCTGCAGTCTCTCCTGACTGCTGTAATTATAACGTGTGTGTGTGTGTGTGTGTGTGTGTGTGTGTGTGTGTGTGTGTGTGTGTGTGTGTGTGTGTGTGTGTGTGTGTGTGTGTGTGTGTGTGTGTGTGTGTGTGTGTGTGTGTGTGTGTGTGTCTGCCTTAAGAAGTCCTTTTGTTTTCACAATGGTGCTGTCAGTGGCCACAGCTGGCGGTTGTGGTCACGGGTGTTTAGGAAAGACTCCTCCTCCACCCTCGCCCTGCATCTCCTCCGCCCTCGCCCTGCACACCCTCGCTCTCCTGTTTTTTGTCTTTTCTGTCTTTGAGGATGTGCAGCTGTGTGTGTGTGCGCACGCGCCTGCCTCAGGACAGGGACTTCAGGCATCACTCTTGGCCTCATTGGACTGCAACTTCTATTTTGAACTGGAATCTCACTTTTTGTCTGCACTTTTTCTCTCCCTCATCTCTCTCTAAAGCGCCCTCACTCTCTCCCTATGACTAAAGTTAGCTGATGGTAACATTTGGGCCTTATTCAAAATGTTCTAATAAAAATGTGAATACATACATCATATTACATTGGAACGTAATACATTTTTCTGGGTTTAAACCTACATTTGAGCTAAAGCAGTTGAGCACTAGCTTGTCCTGTTAGCCAATTCCTTGTCACAGCTTGCATCTCCTCCACTATGTTTCTGTTTATCTATGGCTGGGTTTCCCGTCTTAGCCAAAAGAGAGAATCGGGTCTTTTAGTAACATGCCCTTACTTGGATTGTCATAACCATCTGCTATCCAGCCAAGTCATCAAACTGGTCACCCTCACTTACTACAGCACACCATTCTGAAGACCCACACTGACCCCTAGTGGTTCCTTGTGAGTATTACAACTGCTCTGTCGCCTCGGTCCGTGGAAATGACCACCAGTACTTCTTCTGCGTCAAGCTCTTGCAAGAAGTTTGTGAAGGAAACAGACGACATTGCACAACTTGTTGAAGTAGCCCAAAAACGAGGGCACAGAGATTAATTCATATCCCTTCATTATGCAATTCCAAGAACCAAACAAGCTAAAAGGAAAGTACAAAAAAGCTAAATGAAGGCACGATGCCTTCATTTAGCTTTTTTGGAATTGCATAATGAAGGGATATAAATTAATCTCTGTGCCCTCGTTTTTGTTGTTGAGTCAACTCTTCATGGTGCTCCGCCAGATGACATCCTGAAGGAAATAAATCTTCAAACAAGCTTGCCTCTCACTTCTCTGGGTGGGAATCAAGGGCATTCTCCACACAAATTGATTTCTGAGCGTGCATAGGCTTGCAGCCTATGCATGCAGCCTAACCTTGAGGTGCCATCGCTTTCTCCAACATGAAATGCATTGACAACAATTCTCTCTCTCGTTCTCGCTCTCTCTGGCTCTGTACAGAGGCCCTATTATCTGTCACTGTTAAAATATTTTTTCTCCACTTCTTTTAGAGAAAAAAAATTGACCAAATAAAACTGGACAAAGAAATACATCCTGCCTTAAATGATTGTTTGGTTTATTGTTGCGTTCTCTCCATTAGTATCAGTCTGCCTATCTGTAGTTTTTTTTTTGTGTGAAGAAAAAAAAAATTTAAAAAAAATTCACACTTCCTATTTTCATGTTCGGTGTCCGCTTGCAACATTTAGCCGGCATCAGTGTGGAAGTAGACTAGTGCTTACTCAAGATATTGCTCAAGCCTGTCCATTTTGTGTGTGTGTGTGTCTGTGTGTGGGTGTGGGTGTGGGTGTGTGTGGGTGTGGGTGTGAGAGACGGTTAGCTGGAGACGGGTAAGGCAGACGGTCGCGGAGGGTGACTGTTAATGACATGCACAGCTCTGGTGTGAGACACAAACATGTGGAGGCTCCGGTTTCATACCAAAATCCGATCAACCTTGGCAAGTCGATCTTTTTTGTCTGTGTCTTGTCTGTCCGTGCCCGAGTATGCATGTTGAGTCAAGTGCTTAATTAGCCTGTGATGTAGAATATTTCCTGCTGTTTATTGATGTGTGTGTGTGTGTGTGTGTGTGTGTGTGTGTGAGAGACAGAGAAATAGTGTGGGAGCAGAGGAAGGGGCTTTCCTGGTTGGGAGGGGTGGGGGAGTGTTGCGAGGTGAGAGGAAGCACATGGGGGTCTTTTTTTATTACCCACCTCCGTAGAGGAGCCTCTGCTTTTAAACCACTTATCCTAAACGCATCGCATCAGCCTCGTTACCTTATGACTTTATCTGGGTCTTTAATTGGATGCCAAGAAAATAAATTAGTCTTCTTAGAAGCAACCTTGGCTTGGCGTCGTGTTTGGCACGCACAACGCAACGCAGAGTAGCACATCGCTCAGAGTAGCACAGCCTTATTGTCTTTGCTAAGTGATCAAAGATAAAGGTATGCTTTTAAAAATGATTACAAAATGGTAACCTTATACTTGGTGCTTTAATTCGGTAACACGTGATTGGGGGTGGTTCAGGATGTTGCACTGAATGGTAATTGTGCTTGCCATTGGCTCCAACTGTGAGCATATAGCGGAATTGACGTAGGCAGGAAATTATATCAGCTGTAGAGAACAGGAAGCAAAAAGGTGAAGATTGGGTCTGTTTCCTGTCACCAGTTTAGAAACCGTAACCATCCTCCTCTGGTGTGTGTGTGTGTGTGTGTGTGTGTGTGTGTGTGTGTGTGTGTGTGTGTGTGTGTGTGTGTGTGTGTGTGTGTGTGTGTGTGTGTGTGTGTGTGTGTGTGTGTGTGTGTGTGTGTGTGTGTGCGCGCGTGTGTGTGTGTGTGGTAACAACTATTTAGAATGACATGTCATGTTCTTCCCTGTCCAATCAGCATAAGTCCCATATCAACTGGATAGAGAAGGACTTTGCCAAGTTAAAAGCCAAGGTGAGTTTTTAGCCTCTGGAATGGGCCTCCACACCCAGTAATTCAAAATACACCCAGTCCATCTTTATCCATGCCAGCTTGCACTCGGCCAGTATCACAGTTGAGGTTTGTGAACATGGATTTGGAAATCTTCTATCATCCTCTTGTGTTTTGCTCTGCAGCTCAGTTGGTAGAGCGTGATATTAATGCTGCCAGTGTTGGGGGGGGGTTCAATTCCCACTGGTGCCACCATGTGCGCACTCGCATGTTTTTGGATGAAAGCGTCCACCAACTGGTGTACATTATTGCCAAACACCGTGTTGTCCAAGCTAGGAAGAGACACACACAACGCCTGCTCTCAGCTTGGCAGCATGTTTGTTGGACAGCTGGAGAATGATGTGTTGTCATGGAGGGGGAAGTTGACTCATGGTCGGTCGGGGTGACGTCGGTGCATGATGCCTTCGATTTATTTATTTGTATAGACCCAGAGACTCATTTACATATTTCCGTGAGAAAGTAATTGAAGTGGGCTGAAGAAGCAGTAGAGCAGAGAATGTGCTACTTCCTCCCCCTCCTCTGTCACCTGGCTAATTCTCTCTTGCTATATTTTACTCTATTATTTGTGTGTGTACGTGTGTGTGTACGTGCGTGTGTGTGTGCACGTGTGTGTGTGTGTGTGTGTACGTGTGTGTGTGTGTGTGTGTACGTGCGTGCATGTGCTTGCAGTGCACGCATGCCGTGGCCATGTATGTGTGAGGATCCTGTGTGGTGCAGGTTGAAAAAAGGGAGAGCAGGCTCTTCCTTCCTGTCTGTTCGGGGGCTTCACACTGCACTCTGCCTGCCACACAGAGAGCAGAGAATGGAGAAGGAGAGGGAGTGAAGGAAGTATCGATGCTAGAAATGTCCCTCAAGAGGAAAGAAAGGCAGGGTTTGGTTGAGCGAGAGAGTTCAGTTTAGTTTTTCGTCTGTCCTGGCCAGTTGACTGCGCTGTGAGACCATGACTTGTTTTGCATACTCGGTCTACTCCTCTACGGTCGCTGATGTCTGAGTGATGCACTGAGGGGCAGGTGGGGGGGGGGGGGGGGGGGTCGTCGTCGTCTGTGTGTGTGTGTGTGTGGTGTGTGTGTGTGTGTGTGTGTGTGAGTGTGAGTGAGATCCACGGCGTGGTGGATCGGGGGGTGAGCAATGAGGCGGCAGGCTGGGCGATCATGACCATGGAGAAGGATAAGCGGTGGTTCCCGCTGGGCCGCCTGCTGACTCTTTACGCCTTCAGAAAGCAGCAGCACAAAGCTAGTGGTAGCCTTGGCGCTACGGCTAGCGCCAGTTCACCTGCAGGAAGGAACCGCTGGAGGGTAAAGTCGTGCAGCTATTGTTCCTTTTTCGGTGGCTTGATGAATGCATTGAGGCTTTAATCTGTGTAGTAGTTGTTGTGGTAAGAGGTGTTTGTACAGGATTCACTTTGATTAACAAACAATGGAGTACTTTGCTGAACTTTGCAGCGATAGTGTGAGTGTGTTTATCATGCATGCAGCTGATGGACAACTTTGTTTCAGTTTTGCCTCGATCCATTTTCTCACCTTTGAAATGCTCTGGGGTGATATTCAGAACCTGCACAGCAGGTTGTAAAAACATTTTATGTTTATAGCTTAGTTGAAGTTTCCATTCACCATGAGATGGGTAAATGTGGACCACAGTCCCCATGTACCTTTCAGTAGGCCTTGTGTTACTGGAACTGGCACCAACTACGAGCATTTTTATTTCTTATTTATTTAACATGGTTAGTCTCATTGAGAGTGACCTCATTGACACAAGACACCCATTGAATGTCTGACTGTAGCAGAACATTAAAACACAACATTGAACAGAAAACTGAAAAATAATCAAATATAAATACAATGGGTATAATTATGTAGATGTTGGAAAAAAAACCTCGTCATGGAACAGGAAATGAGCAAACGCAAAACAATACAGAAAACCTGTAAAGTGAAATCGTAGAGGCAAAACCTTAGAATAGGAAGTTGTTTGGCAAGTTCAATGTACAATTAACAATTTCCTTTTTAAATAGTGGAGGTCATGCTTTGATAACCTTACTGGACATAACTAGTTCCCCACAGGAAGAACTTAACTTTCCATCATGATGTATTTATAGGAAAAGGTTATGCTTATTCTAGGAGGTTTGCTATAATTTCTCACCAACATGCCGCCCACAGTCACACAACAGTTTTCGAACCTTTAACATTGTTCCTCTTTCAGTGGTGTTGTGAATACGTTTTTTGGGTCGTACTCTTTTGGGGTGTTTGTGCGGTACAGAATTATAAGTTCTGTGTACTTTGGGGAGGAGAAGACGATGTAATGCAACTGGAAGGACCCACCCAATGTTTCTTATTCACACTAAACAATTCCTGTATTCCCGTCCCTGATCCTCGCACAGCAAACTAACAAAACATCCTACAGTATGCTCACAAATTTGAGCTGTCTGATCATTAGTTGTTGGTTAAATACGCCATCCTTTCTCTCTCTCCCTCTCCCTGTCTTTCTCTCTCGCCCACTCTCTCTCTCTCTCTCTCCCTCTCCCTCTCTCGCCTAGGAGGAAACGGAGATCAAGGAGATCAACATCACCCATGTGGTCAAGGAAGGCTCAGAGAAGGCAGATGCCTCCCAGTTTGAGCTGCTCAAAGTCCTCGGACAGGGATCTTTTGGCAAGGTAGCGTTTTACTCTAAGTCACGCACTCACACACGCACACGTAAAGACACACAGACACACACTCACTCACTCACACATGCATTAATACACACACACCCACTCACTCACTTATGCATAAATACACTCACTGACTCACTCACTCACTCACTGACTCACTCACTCACACATGCATTAATACACACACACCCACTCACTCACTTATGCATAAATACACTCACTCACTCACTCACACATGCATTAATACACACACACACACCCACTTACTCACATATGCATAAATACACTTGCGCTCACTCACTCACTCACATAAATACACAAACACTCACTCACATATGCACAAATACATACTCGTGCATAAATGTGCGTGCATAAACACATGAACGCACAGTCAGTCAGTCATGAATACATGTACACACACTCTTTTCTCTCTCTCTTCCTCTCCCCAATGAACTACTACTACTAAGCCCCAACCACACACACACACACACACCACACTAAAGGTTCCTTGTCAACATGATGGTGAAGCAAAGCACACACGGTCGGTCTCGCTGTCCCTCCTCAGGTGTTCCTCGTACGGAAGGTGACCCCACCCGACCACAACCAGCTGTACGCCATGAAGGTTCTCAAGAAGGCCACGCTCAAAGGTGCGCGCCCACACACACACACGCGCACACACACACACGCACACACAGAGCCTCGCTCAATCGCACACATCCGGTTTCATGTGTAGCTCTTGTTTTCATACAAGAGGTATTTTGAGGTTAATGGTGAAGCGAGATGCGACCCCCGCCCTCGGAGATGCAATGGGTTCACATGCACAACGCAGGTGCTTGGTGGAGGCTCTGATGATGATGATGATGATGATGATGATGATGATGATAAAACGATGTGTGGGAACAGGATCACACGCATTCACACTTTTTTGTTTTTGTTTACTGTCAGCCCATAATATGCACATTATGGTGTAAAAAGATAACCACACCACTAGTTTCTCACACAATACAAACCACGCATATTTTAAACGGTTTAAATTCTGTTTTATTTTTAAACGTGGGTGGCGATATCATGCTCGTTATTATTCAGTATTGCTACATGATTACATGGTGTTTCATAGTAAGAACGCCGTGAACAGTTAGCAGCAGAGAAAAAAGAAAAAAAAGGAGTAAACTAAAACAAAAAAGAGTAGAGGGTTTGTAGGCAGAGTAAGTTGTACCAAATTTGACTTGCCATCCGTGCTCTGTATAACATGTATAACATGCATGCCATCGACACACAGACAGACAAACACACACACACACACACACACGCTAACATGCTATATTGTCCTCTCGTGCAGTGAGGGATCGCGTGAGGACCAAGATGGAGAGAAACATCCTAGCGGATGTGAACCACCCGTTTGTCGTCAAGCTGCACTATGGTAACAGATCATCACTTTCCCTGTTGATTATTGATCAGGTTGAACATGTTTAACATGATAATACTAATTGCTTGTGTGTGTGTGTGTGTGTGTGTGTGTGTGTGTGTGTGTGTGTGTGTGTGTGTGTGTGTGTGTGTGTGTGTGTGTGTGTGTGTGTGTGTGTGTGTGTGTGTGTTGTAGCATTCCAGACAGAGGGGAAGTTGTACCTCATCTTGGACTTCCTCAGAGGAGGGGATCTCTTCACCAGGCTGTCAAAAGAGGTACTACGTTTCCATTGTGGCGTGCTGCCGCATCTTATAGCTGTAATTGTTTTGGTTTACAGGCATACACACACACACACACACACACACACACACACACACACACACACACACACACACACACTCTGCTTCTTTCCCTGCTCATCTTTTTCTCTCTCTCGCTTTCTCTCGCTCTCTCTCTCTCTTTCTCTTACCCCCAGGTGATGTTCACAGAGGAGGATGTGAAGTTCTACCTGGCAGAGCTGGCGCTGGGTCTGGACCACCTGCACGGCCTGGGTATCATCTACAGAGACCTCAAACCAGAGAAGTAAGAGAATGCGCGCGCACACACACACACACACAGACACACACACACAAACACACACATACATTTGCGCACAAACACATCCATTCATCTCTCACTCACTCTCACACACGCACACACACGCATGCATTAAGTGACAAACTTTGTGACTCATCATATCACATAGTTATTGGGTCAATACATGTCTTGATTTACAGTTTTTACTGTATGATATTGTGTTATCTACCATTTATTGACTAATTTACTGAGAAATTGTTCGGCTTGTAAAATGGCGTTTTCATAGTACACTTTTCTACTTCTTTCAGCATTCTACTGGATGAAGAGGGACATATCAAACTCACAGGTGAGTCACGCACACGCACACGCAAACTCTTACTTTGTGTTATCTTCTGCCACCATTTCTGCTGTGTTGACCTTCGCTGTGTGGGGGCGAAAAGGGTTTTATCTTGAGTCCTCCAGATATCTGCATACTGTGGCCTTGTGTGTGTTCATAATTACGGCTTTATCTTATCGTTCCTGCGTAATCACTGCAATTTGTTGACCACCAACGTAGGAGCCTGAGTCAAA